ACCATCACCCCTGGGTGCGAGCGTTGTAGAGTGGCGGGCCATCTGCACCGCAACTCCGTCCACGCAGACCTTATACTATACCGTCGAGTGGATAGGATGTTTTCTTACCCTAAGTCTCACCCAGACCTCTCCCGGATGGATCCCCTACACTGGGGGGAGCCCTTTCACATCCAGCCACGCATATAAGGTTTTGTTACAGAAAACGAGGCCAGAGATAATAAATTGAAGGCAAAACGCGTTTGCTCATTTTCAACGATTCCCCAAAGGAGCGCCACTTGGGGAAAAATGGCTGGACCAAACAAGTCGATGGACCGCTGAATTTAAAGGAGCGATGTGGACGTCTTAATAGTTCCCACAGTCAGACTAAACGCTTCCTCAAAATCATCTGGTTCAACTTCAGAATATCATTTCTCAACAAATCGATGTAAATATTTAAAACTCTTTTGAGTCATGTCATAAAAGAGTTCTATAAGCGTTGATATAAAATCAGTTATATTCTATACTGAGTATGCAACGAAGTAATTTGTGAGGTTTTACATTTTGACAATTTATGTTTTGTAACTCAAAGTGACATCTTTAACCCCCATTTTTTAAACATTTAACTAGGCTTTCAAACTTCTTGGTCCAGGGAACTTGGTTTCTCCTAAAAACTGAAAAAGGGAGGCGAGTATAACATTGCCTTTAAATACAAAACTCCCCTCGTTGGCAACAGAAAAATTCACGCACGTATACTCGCAGCAACGCGCCAGAGTTGTTCGCGCCGAGGTCCCCCTACGGTCCGTACGTGCTCATTTCATACATGGGTGACTTTTCCGTCCACTGCAAACGCGTACATACAGTGCAGGCCCCTGTATAGCTGTGTCTGGTTGAAGAATATCGCTCTCACAAGTCTCCGTTTAATTAGCATAGGGTTATGGTTTTTGGCCTCTCACGGCTCCACAACCCACCGCGAAGTGTCAAAAGGCCTGGTATCGCACTTGGGCCTGTAATTTGGAGGAGAAAATTAGCCACACGCGGCCGCTGGATGATGGGACGAACGGAGAAAGTGAATTAGGGGAGAAATGCAGCAAGAATGGGGTCCTGCGAAACGCCACGGCCAAAGAACAGAGCCATGTTTTATTAAAATTTAATTACACCTTTTTTTGTTTTCTGGCCCAAAGATGTTTATATTGTCGGGGGGGGGGTAAGCTCGAAGTGCTTTCTGTTGCTTGGACGTGGAGCGAAGTACAGCGGGCGCGGTGGTTGCAATGTGACCGTTAAGTATCACATTTTTCAAATCGTCACGCACAAACTGTGCGAAGGTAGCAAAAAGAAATATGGCTCCACCTCTTTAGGGGACAGGTGCCCATAGTAAAAAAGAAAAAAAAAACTGTGTCTTTTTACCTATATAGTCAGAGGCGTATCTCCCACCTGCACCCCACCCCCATACCCCAAGCATACTTTTATGACTATGAGAAGGAAATGTCGACCCAGCCCACTCATTGTCACCTTTCTTGACAACGCTCCTGCCAATAATGCCCCAGTTACGCAACAGCTTAACCATACCAGCGTATGGCTTTAAGCACTTCTTGTTATACTTCTTGTTTAGTCTTTCCAAAACTGGCAGTCTGAATTTTGTTCATTATGGGGCAGCGCGGACAGCCGGGTTTCTCACAAAATGACAGGTACTGCGCCGGTGAAAACAGCGGCCTTGGCAACGTACGCACGCACCAGCCAGTCCAAGGATCGGGTTATACAATCTTTTCTTTTTTTCTTTGATCTGTACGTACGCGTGCGCTCGTTGCAGTTGTTTTCATCGGCACGGTGTGATTGCTACCCGTATTTTTGTGAATTACCCAGATGTCCGCGCTGCCCCTATGAGGCACCCTCAAAGGCTCCTAGCCACGCGGGCATTTTATAGGGAATCACAATAAAAAACAACGACATAAAAATTCATCTGTAAATCTGTAAAACGTTCTTCACGTTCATTTCTAAATAAATGACAAGTTGATCGCTGCTGGTTGAGGAATCGAAAAAATAAAACATTCATATGAAGTGTACACTAAGTGCAGTCAGCGTTTCACCTATCACTTGTACTGAAGATCCACCTGTGGAATTTTTACAGTATCATTTAAATAATGTCGTTGGCAACAGTAAGGTGGAACATGCTGCAGAATTATTTCTTTACCCGTGTAATTTTTTTTTCAAAATGTTGATCTCATTAATTGTGTTTACTGGAGTTTTACAGTTCATCGAATATTGACCGACATCATTTATCATGGGTAGGAGTTTCCGGTTCATCAAAAGTTCGTGTGTTTTGTTAAGCCCAACTGTGACGAGAAATGGATAGAGATATCTCAAGAAATTAAAAAAAAAAATTACACTGTTAAGATAATTACTCAGTTGGTATCAAAATCCACAACAAATAGATACTACTGACGTCGAGAGCCAGCGAAACGGGGGTTACTCTACAACCGTTTCTGTTGTCGCATGCTGACACGTGGTTTGCCTGCATGAAACGATGACATGTAGTGATAACGTCCATAAGTATTGGCGGGCACTTGACGACCGCGGAAGCGAGCCCCCCCCCGCATGCGAGCGTGTCCCGAGTTGTTACCAATACCCGTCAACCCCTTCCCTCCCGTGGCTGGGGGGCTTTGTCCGTTCACCTGTCGCAGCGCTCGCGCCATCGATTCGGGTCTTCCGTTGAGGATGTGGGCTGACACAGCAACGGATGCTGCTCCCGGAAACTATCCGTTTAACTGACACTTGAAAACATTGTTTTTTATTAACTAAATGTTCATATGAGTGCTGACTTGAATTTCATCTGACCGGCAAAGTTGGGCTAAGGAACTGTAAATGGGCAGTGTTATATATTAACCTTAATCTTGCATTGCTTGACTTAACAAACATGGACTTCTTGAGCACGGGAGCTAGCGTAATGAACCATTCGCGACTCGATCACGTAAATAATGGTAAAATTACGAGAAAATGATAGGCAGCAGCGCGTCAACTCTGCTGCATATCTGTCTCGGGCAACCACAAGTTCACACCTAACGCAATCTCATTTCTACAGTGCATTTAGAGTCCATGTAGTAAGCAAGAACTCTTCTGACGCTTACCTGTAACAAGCAGAACAATCAGATGAGGAAATGTCGTACTGAAACCAATCACCAACACCATCAGACCAAGGCCCGAAGTTCGGTTGCTCAAAGCTGTCGATGTAATGAAGAAAACGAATGAAGTTCATACCTGGTGGCCAATTAAAATAAACTACAATTGTTTACAGTAGTACTGTAAGCAATTTAATCTGTTGGTCTTGTCTTCTAACCGTAACGCAAAATAAGACTAGGGGTCTTATTTTTTTGGGGGGTGGGGTTCTTCAGATCATCAAAAGTAGGCCCCTGAAAAAAATGCAACGAGTGGGGTGGGGGGTTGACCCAAAATGCCTTCTTCTAAATCCCCGCCTGGTTTACCCTGTATGAGCACTTGAAATGGAATTTGTGTCTTTTGCGAAAACGGACACACCTTTAGCTTTTGAAGCACTGTTACGCTGTAGCTTTAATGGTAGAGTAGACTTACCGGTATAAGACCATGAATGACATGTGGCTTTTTGCACTTTCCTATGGCACTTTCAGGCATGTGTTTAGGTCTATGTTTTAGGTCTACTATTTTCCAAAAGCCTGACAAAATCTGATTGTCCAGAACTGCCATAGGCTTCAGGGTGCATTTTTTAAGCGCTGAGCTATACGATACATTACTCTTAAAACTGAGGGTAACAGCTCCAGCAAAGACATGGGATGGCGGATTATGCACACATTGCAAGGTCGGGCACTGGAAAGTGGATTATTTCTTTAACATTATTAGAAATGAAAGTTCATTATTATAGGAAGTGGTTAAATGTGATCACTCCATGCACGTCGGGAGTGGGAACAATCTTCAGCAACTGAAACGCACGATTGCGGTGGTAACATTTCGGAGCGCTTGTGTGTAACCTTGCGAATACATGGATATCGCCATATCCTGTGGTTTTATGTGGATTTTCATATAACCAACAAAACATTATGTTTTTCCTATTCTCTATTTTTTTTTGGGGGGGGGGAACCCCGCCCTCCACGCTATGCACTTTGTCAAAGAAAAACCTCTGGTTTTTCCGTTCCACTTGCGCTCTGACTGATTACACGATACGTGCATTCTTCAACATTTTAAGAGCCACATCATTACGCAGTGGAATTACCTTGGGCAAACAATGAAAGTACGTTGGTTAACCCTGCCTTCTTTTTATTTATATTCCGTGTACATAACTGAAGCAGCCTCCTCGGTGCTATTGAAACTTGGAAATCTGCAACTGTTTCTGCAGGGAGCCAGTGCAATTGCAGTATGGTTAGAGGGAAATGCGTGTAATGAAATTCATGCCGAAAAACACTTCCCCTTTACTATGACAGATGTACGACTTCGTCAGAGGTCAGTACATTATTTAGTCTAAGCCTTCAAGATATGATGAGAATTTTAATGGAAAAGCAAAGTTATTGTGATTGTACATGTACATCCTCGAGGTGAAACGGATGTATCCCGAGGCTCCCATTTTCACGGAACTTCGAAACGTGTTTGTGGATAAATTTAAGGGGGTAGCGAGTGTCTTGCTAGTTTGTGAGTCACAGGGCATAGAAGCTATCCGGCTCGGTCGAGGGCGGCAAAGGCGTTAAACCGAGCAGCAGCGCCGACCACCAGTCGATAATTCCCCGGTGACTACCCGTCGCTCGCCCGCTGTCGCTCGCCCAGGACGTCGGTCCGATATCAAATGCATTTGTCACTTCGGTTGATTTTTTTCCTGTCACCGCGCATAATGAGCGCAGACTGCGCGCGCGCGCGCCGCCCACGACCAATCAGAACGTGAGAAGTGAAACAGGTGCATGCATAATCCCCAGTGCAGTGCGCCTGCGCGGTACTATAAACCAATGAATACATTTGACAAGGGGGGCTGCAGGCGTATAGAAAGCCCGCACGAATTAATACTTACAGAGAGTGAAAGCGCGCTCCCGAGTAAACACTGCCACGAAACAAATACAGAGGCATATCGACTGCGGGTCCGAAGGAGCGGCTGGGAAAAATCCCCAAAATATTCGTCCGGGAAAAAAGCTCGACAGACATTACGGTGGCGTCAATACAGGGATACGGTGGGAGCTGGCGGACTCAAGGTGTAGTCATGAACGTAAAGGACCACGTTAGTATGCATCCACCCATACCAGCGGCTCCAAAGTATTCACCTTTACACCACCGACACCATGATCGGGGAGCCGAGATGATGAGACGGCATTGCATGAGCAACGCCCCGGTAAGTTACAACCACAGTCATTCCGTCCCTCTTGTGTAACTCGTCTCTACCCAGCTCAAGTATATAACATATCGGTGCCATTTGGACTTTTCTTCTCATAATCAATATTGAGGTGTCAGACCACTAGGCCCCTACGAGTGTTTGCAATATGAGAAACAACATCGAAACTTTGAAGTTACATTGTTCATTCGTTGAAAAAAATATATATATTTGTAATTACTTTAATAGAAAATCTGGCGAGTAGTTGTAATGGATCCAAGCAATAATTATAAACTTTTGCAGAAATTAAAAAAGGAGCATTCCAGAACCCCAACATTTTTTTGCCTTAATTTCGGTGTGAAATTTCTTTTATTGAGGAATATTTCAGGTCTGGTTCACTTAGAGTTGACTGTAGGACGGACAATGAGACAGCGATACGGAGTAGCCACTAGAATAATGGTCGATTGGCAAGTTAAATTAAACAATGGCTACAAGAACTTGTCATTTTGAAGTCCAGAATGTTGAAAGTTAGATTTTGAACAGTTTCAGTGATAGTGGAGTTTGATCTACTTTGCCCTTTTTTCAATGCTATGTCTTAACAGGGGTTTGTAGGAAAACAGACCGGTCACACGACACCCCATTCGGATCCTTATACCCACCTTGCTGAATTATGCATACTCCATACAATCTCCAACCGACTTCCAGACCGGAGACGCCGCGTGTTTGTACGTGGGACAGCCCCCCTTTCCCCTGTCAGATCTTTCGCTAAACGATGGCAATTACGCTTGTGTCCTCTTATATTATGCATGGCGTTTGTCCATATTTTATGAATTCGTATTAGCACAGGTTTTTTTTTCTTCTCTGGAATTCCCAGTCAGAGTACTTTCAGAGAGTCTCGTGTGCAGTCAGTGGGAGTACCACGAATCAATGTATAGTGAATGTGAACATTCGACAGCTTTTGTAGTTTGTCTGTTCAAGAAGTGTTGATTTTGCGCAGCATGTCAGGGATGTCCTAATTTTGTATTCTTTTCAAATAGCCCTACTCTGTTATTAACTCGTCCGCGTTAACCAGCTCCCATTCATTCAAGCATTTGTAATCGGTTTTATTTCTTTTTAAGGAATTTAATTTCACTCAACCAGGTAATATTTTATTGAGTTTCGAGAATCCAAATCATATCCCCCTTTTTTTGTTCCGGTGTGAGCATTCAGTTGAAGAAAAGTCTGAGTCGTTATTCTGGAATGAGTGCTTCTGCCAAAAAAAAATCAATAGCCCCATGAAGATGGAAATGTTGTCTTTCATTATGGAATGAAACTGTCAGCATGCAGTACACCACATGATGCAATAGGAAGGCGGGTACAGACAGACAGACGGACAGACAGTTATTATTGAAAAACAGGTTTCATTTTACCCTCAGATGTGATCTAACGCACTCAAAAAAAGAAAGAAAGAAATAAGCACAGTTGGTACGGAGAGAATATCAAATTTCATTTGGCAACCAATGTCAGGCCATACTGTATAAGAAAGCAATGACAAAAATGGTAAGAGTGTAATACCCATTTTTCATCATTTCGGTAAATATTTCGTGTCTCACGAGTATGATTTCAGATCGTGTGTCCAGCTATAACGTGAACTTATGTTGAACAATACCATACAACTAAATCTGTTTTTACATAATCCATCATCCACGTTTTCGTCTAACATTTATCGTCATGTGAACGTGTGTGTTCGAAAAAACAAACAAATCCATAGCCGAACAAACTGCTGCATTACATATACAAAAAGGTAATCATATTCATGAATTTTCTGTTTTCTTCACTCCTTAAACATTGAGGTCGGGATTGGATTACATGTGTTTGATGTCTAATTTGCAAACCACCAGGTCGATATCTGAGAAACTGATGTCGATAATAACTATCGTATACTTACAGCTGTGCCATTCTTGCAAGCGATGTCATTGTCTTTCGCAAGATAATCATTGCAAGATTTAGGCGATACATGAAAGGAATGTTTTGTCTTTCATAAAACAATTACAGTGTCCTTAATTGGCTTGTTTTTTTAAACATGTACTTGCTGCTAATTGATATTGTGGTTAGATGTGAACGACCATTTTAATTCTCCCACTAGAAATTATTTTGGCGAAAAACCCATTTATAAATTGTCCTTTTACGAGCAACTTTGTTTTCACTTGAAAACCCGATCGTGATTAAAACATAAATTCTTCCATGGAATATAATCGCTACGTTTAACTGATCCAGTTTTAAAGTTGTACAAAACTGAACATTGAGTGAGATTTACACACTGTTTGTCGTTCTCATCTCTTTGATGATTTTCTCTGATGTGATAGTGTACGCTTAGTTATTTTTCTTTCCTTTTCTTCATCACAGAGCAATCTCTTCGGAGGCTTAGAGGAGGGGCTCCTAGCTCGCGCGGAAGCTCTGGCGGCAGTTGATGTCATGTCCTCAATGGTCAAGAACAACCAGCCCCACATGAACATCAAGAATGACCACGTCTCCAACTACTCTCCTCATCACATGAACGGCGGGATGCATCCGGCGTCCCACCACTACGGCAGCGGCACCTCATGCGCCTCCCGCTCCATCCACGGCCACATGGATCACGGCGAATTCCTGGATCCGATATCGGCGACAGCCTCCCTGCCCGGCTCGACCAATACTAGCCTGTCTGGGGCCGACATGCAAGGGATGGTGGTCGCCCCACCCCACCAGAGCTTTGCCGCCATGTCAGGCCAGCCTGGCCACTTCAACACGGCCCACAGCATGATGTCGCACAACATGACTATGCACGACCTGGACACCGATCCCCGGGAGTTAGAAGCGTTCGCTGAGCGCTTCAAGCAGCGCCGGATCAAGCTGGGGGTGACCCAGTGCGACGTGGGCAAAGCGCTCGCCAACTTGAAACTGCCCGGGGTGGGTTCGCTCAGTCAGAGCACGATATGCAGGTTCGAATCCCTCACGCTGAGCCACAACAACATGATCGCCCTCAAGCCCATCCTGGCTGCCTGGTTAGAGGAAGCAGAGGCCGCCGCCAGAGACAAGAGGAACTCGACGGGAATCCTCAACAACATGGAGAAGAAACGCAAGCGCACCAGCATCGCGGCACCGGAGAAGCGGTCCTTGGAAGCTTACTTCGCAGTGCAACCTCGGCCCTCCAGCGAGAAGATTGCGGCCATAGCTGACAAGCTGGACTTGAAGAAAAACGTCGTACGGGTGTGGTTCTGTAACCAGAGGCAGAAACAGAAACGCATGAAATTCTCAGCGCAACCCAGATGAGACTGCTGTAAACATGTAAACTATATTTATATCATAGAAACAGTAATAACAGTGAAGACGCCGCCATGATAAACTTTGACCTTTAAGAAAATAGATCAATCAATCAATATCACGCAGGTCGCCCCCCGCACATGGACATGTTAGCGAAAAGATACAAACTAAAGCAAGGCCAACTTCTCCATTGAATTCCCGAACATTGAAATTCCTGGAAAGTGGGGAATCGTTGACCACTGAACGTTTACGTTTCTTCAAGGGCAGCTTTTAGACTCTAATTTGTCAAAACCAAGGGCTTGGACCGGGCTGATAAACGGGCTTTTGCTCATCAGTCATTTGATTACGGCTTAAGCACTGGACTACATTTCTCATCGGTTTTCCATCTTTTTGATTCACGAGGCCGAAAATCTGGCCATGTCCAAATTACACACAACTCTACTGGAAGGGGCTGCAAACACTGCCATAGACCCGTGCGTAACATCAAGTCGCAGCCAAGTAATTCAGACCGCCCTATCTGCCGTGATCGTATAGCCATGTTCCACCGTACAGTGTGGAGTGGTATCTAAAGTGATGTGATAAAAAAAAGAACCTCTGTCTTTTTCTTCCATAAATTCCAACCTGTTAAAGGTTACACAAAAAAGTGCTCATAGACAATTCAGTTTTGGAGCTCCTTTCAACTTGCTCTCCACTTCTTTAATGACAAACGCCCTCTCCCACTTTTATTGTGCTAAGTTACATATTTGCTTATGTGTAATTATTCACTCTATCCGATGGACGAGTCGGAACGCTGAATATTTTTCGCCGAAGACAAACTTTTCCTTTCTTCTGTGATACATCGTAACTTGTTGCTAATTCGCTCCTTGAAAAAATGTTGCAATCGAACAAAGCAGCTTTAATTATACAATGATTTTTAAAGGAAAAATTGTATTCCGTTAGGTCATAACAGTGCAGAGCTGAAGAGGTTATTATTAAACAAATAATGTAGAAAGTAATGATGATGAGGTCGGATCAGCTGGATTTGAGGTTGATGCTCGATGATCGCGCCATTTCTCTATCCTTTTTCCCATCAAAGAGGCCGTACAGCGTCCTTGATCGCACACCATCACAACACATTCCACACAATGAGTATAACTTGCACGTCTAAGCTGTTGCCGTGAGCAGGATCGATCCACTCGCTTCTACTGATGCTTGACTCGTGAGCCTCGGTCTTATTTTTTTTTTGCAAGTTGGCGCTGAGGATGTCGAGCCAGGATGGGCAGCAACTTATCGATCTTAGGCTGCCTGTGAAAACTCCTGGTCGAGCCAGTGTAGCAAGCAAAACTCGGAATTAAATTACGGAGTTTGCGTCTGTGCTCTGTCTGACTGGAGTAAGTCTGAAAATAAGCGAGGTTCTGTCAGGCTCAAAACAGCCTGTTACGAAAATAATTGTGCAATTTCAAATCAATGATGCCAATTTTGCTCGTTTGTAATTCTGTGGTATAATGTACATGGGCCAGTTCATACTGTTTACTTCATGATCTGGAAACAATGATATAAAATTTTCTTAAACCACAGCACCGCCCACAACCCTGAAACGAAATCTTGCACGAGCAAAATACATGATACTGTTAGGCCTAATGGAAACAAATATGATTCAGTACAAGTGGTGAAGAGAGAACATCTGATCGGTTTTAAAGGGTATGAACTAGACGCATATCAGGGCCAACAAAAGGACACAAGATCTATTCGCCGGTGACTTCCTACGAAACAAAAGGTGTTGGGCTGCTGGCAAACTTTCTGAAGTTATTTTTAAAGTATTCATTGTAGGGAACCACGTATGCTGAAGCGTTGTTTTCCTTCCGCTGAAGGTTTTTAGCGATGTCATTATGCTTCAAGAAATCGATCATGTTCAGATTATCTGTTCGATTGCAGGATTAATGTTCGGTCACGGGATCAAATTTCAGTGAATGGGCGACTGTTCCTCAAGTAACTGACCCATATCGCTTAACTTGACGGTGTAGTTTGTGAATGAGTTGTTGCAGCAAAGTACGAAGCGGTTTAACTTTCCAAATTAGAGCCTTAGGTTGCACATTACAGTAATTTCAGGCCAAAATTTCGGCAGATTTTTGTAGTTGTACTTTTTGTCAAAATGGTTGTTCTTTGACAACACTCTTTATAATTGACACTCATAAAAGTGACTCTTATATAATTTGTGCTCACACCACCATCAAACTTTCGTCAAGTGAACAACTGATTATTTAATTCATAACCTGCATTATGAGTAACGTGCACGGCCCTTGTAGTGTCAAATGCACGCACTGGTGAAGGTTTCCAGTCTAGCCAAACGACGTCCCACGTTGTCTATCTTACCATGGCGTTTTATTTCAAATATTTGAATGGCAGAGTGGGATTACTGTCTTGGTTATTTGCGAAGCCACCATGGAACCAATTGTTCCTCTTTTTGTCTGCTTGTTGGCCACTGGAATAAACTCATCTGCGTTGATCAACGTCAAACCTATTTGGCTGTACAATCGGATAATTCAGTTGATGGCAGCGATGTTTAGCTCGCACAACGGCTGTTTCTGAATCATAACTGAAGTGTGCGTGTAGGAAGACATTTCAAACACACCATTCACATCTGGTGGTTAGTTTCGAGGAAAATGTGGTAAGAATCCCTCGGAACACGCCCGTCTTTACGCCGTTTCTTGGAGGAGTTTGATTTTGCAATTGGCGCAGTTGGTTGGTGTGGATATAACTCATAATTGTTAAGATCCTGCTTGCAGGAAATGCCATACGATTATTGTTTTACCGGGGGCCCATGCTAGGCATCGGCCGGCCGTATCATTTCTAATTTACCACTGGCTAAGCTCGATCTATCGGCGCAACCAAGCGACGGAAATTACCCGGCGTAGCTGAGTGTGATTGACTCGGCCGGTCATGCGTTGCGGCCTATTCCTTGAGGAATTTCCCCCCCGCCTTAATTCCTAGTCCCGTCTCATTGCACCGCACACGCTATTTCTTCTTCCCCGTTTTCTATCTTCAGCTCATTTGGAACGCTTGGGTCGGCACGGAAAACCCATTTCCCCCGTCATCCGAGTGTGTTATTCCCGCCGTTGACCAGCTCACAATAAATCAAACACCTTCTCCACTCGATAATTTCATTTGGAAATTCCATGTTTTTTTTCTCTTGTCCGTGTCGATTTAAAAACAATCCAGATGTCATATTATGCAGTGTAGATGTACAATCTTATAACGTGGCAAGCGCAGTGTGCACAGCCGGCCGTGCCAAACTTTTGCCCTGTCGGTTTCTGTGCCTCTCCCCGTCAAGTTATTCGCCTCATCGTACCGTGGGGCTTCCCCCACGCTGGCGTTATGAAATATTCACGATGTTCGTTTTGAGCACTGACTGCCAAGTTTGTATTAATTATTTCGAGGTTAAGCTATCACTTCAGTAACCCGGAGGCGGGGAGGAACGTAAAACGTCTTTAGATTCCATGACACACCCCGAGAAAGCAGATCACAAGACCAAAAGCTATTAACGACAGTTTCCTTCCTTTGAGCAGCTTTTAAATATTTTTTTTAGAAAATAACTGTTTTGCACGGGCTTGATACCGTTCAACATTTCAAGAATTTCTGAGAAATTTTGGCAAAGTCAGTTTTGGCGAATCCCAAATTTGAGATCTCCTTATTCAGCTAAGCTATCACCTTTAAAAAGTAATAATTGATGCCTTGTCAGGTGCACTCCTATTTATTAAAACTAAAAGTTATTGACATCATTGTCCCCTTGGAAAATAATTCCAAACAATTTTATTTAAGTAACAAACTAAGAAAACAAACTTAAAGCGAATTCCTATATTTTCAAATGGCACAAATGTGTAAATACTTTGTAACGAATTATTTATTCATTCCCTAAGTTGTTTGGTCTCTACATTTTACCGCTGGTTTATCAAATCAATTGATGTATTGTTTTTGTAAATAGTTACTGTCGATCCTATACACATCCAATTTGCTTTGGAACTGATTTATTTGAAATAAAGACAAAAATGTACTATCCTGTTTAATAATACACATCGAATCTGTGTCCCTGAGAGGTTTTTGACGGAAGTATTTTGTCTTGGTTTTGTTAATGAAGCAAAAATCTTGCGCTAGCTATTCCCTTTAATTTGATACAGTCTCGTTCAATATACTTGGCATTTCTTTTCCACGAGTACTTCTAAAATTTTGAAGTAGGCCTATTCATTTGGATCGATTTGATTCTGTTGCATGCAGTTCAATGTTCCGCGAGACCATCTGACTTACATCGGAGCTAACGACTGAGATGGGAGACAGAGCTGGGTACTAGACCCACTCCCCCGTTAGACTTTGCCTTCCTAATAAATATGAGATCCTTGACTCCTTACTGCTCGAAGCTGCTCTGCGCAAGGCATTGCTGGTACTCGCCTATCGGCCGGGACTTGCAATTAATGGCGGGTATCTTATTTTGCTCAGCCAAACATTTTGAGCCTTAACTCAGCAGAATAAGAAGAATAACTGTGTTGCAGGTTGGTAGTGTGAAGTCTGGGGGTCGCATATTCGGGTTTTATGAGGTCCCCTCTTCTTCCCAGTCCGACAACATCTGTCACCTTAAGAGCCTATGGGCCTGCACCCCCCGTGTCAGTTAAACATTTTAAAAATAAGAGAAACATGTTCTGACTCCCGTTAAAGGATGTACCTTTTTAAAAATGCCAAATAGAGCATAGATGGTGGTTAAGTTTTCAAAGCTTACAAAGTGTGGGCTGTCTTGCTTTCAATTAGTCCCTCATTAACACGAGTATTAATAACTTTCTGCGGGAAACGCGATAATTCAGAGCAAAGCTGCTCCTATATGACACAGGGACAATGCAACAAAAGGTTTCATAGGAGCAGGAACTGTTGTCAGGCGACTTCAAGTGAATTTCAGTCTTCTGAAGGACGTCCTGCATCTAATTAGTATACAGGCGAAAGAAGAACAAGGAAAAGCGTCCAACTGTATAAGTAAAATATTGGACGCAGTCCCAAGGGAAATAATGAGCCAGGATTATAAGGGAGGTCATGGGACACCCACGGTTTGTAGCAAAGGACAATGACGGCAGACAACAGTAAACCTCCACCCCCCCCCACCCCACTCCAGCCCCGCGTAATTAGAAGAGTTATCATAAACAGCGATGTGAACAAACAAACAAACTCGATAGCCTATGCGTGTCTGTGCATGTTTCTGAGGGACAACAATTTATGCTGTCCCTCTGCCTCTATCCCTTGAAATAGAACGGATCGCATCATCACAGTCAGCGCTGAGGACAAAAACCTGCCGGTGGACGGGATCTGCCCAGCCGTCTTAACGCGGCGATCACTCACAACTTCCGCTATTCATCTGCCGGCCGCGACTAAACGGGATTCGTCACTCTCTGCCGTGCCTTCAGCACCTGCTCCAGCGATGGAGAGGGGGAGAGACCACAGAGCGAAAGCGGCGGTGTCTCCCTTTCTGCCTCCTTCATTCTGAAGTCTCCTCGTGCAAGGGATCCGCCGGATCAGCTTACTAATGAGCGAGCTGCGAGCACTAAGTTCGGGCCCCCAACACTGCTGGGGCTGGATAGTGAGCTGGAGCGGGTGGTGGATGCGGACACCCGGTGTATGTGGAGTGCTGGCTATAGGGGCCGAGTCTTTTGTGGTATCTGGTGAGAGAGTAAAGCGAGGGCGGAAATACGGCGGGGCAGGTGGCAGTGTGTCGCTAGCACGCCCCGTTGATGACAAGACGGCAAGTCGACAACACACGCAACTGCTGCGTGCGTATATACAAACCAAGGCACGGCTCCTGGCTCGCTGTGCCTGTATTACGGGGTTAGACCGCACACGCAGTAAAGCCGTGTTTATGCATAATTTTAGGCAACCGTCATTTCAATGTACCGTACTCCAGACTATTAGTTTATATTACTGTGTCCAAGCCCCGATTGATGATAAGCCCCTGTCACATATCAATTATAATCATTAATTCT